AACTTCAAATATTTCAGCACTAATAACTTCTCCTGAGTGTGGGTATGGAAGATGGTTGCAAGATAAAAGAGCTTCTTAAAATTCAAAATTAGATGTTAACCAGGTTATTGTTATACCAAGATATCCTTGACGAGACTTTGCAGTCCATAAATCAGTAGTTAAATGAATAGAAATTATATTATTATTTAAAGTAAGCAAAGCTGATCCTTACTCTATATAAAAGATTCATAAATTATTGCTTTTACAGTTTTATCACATGGTATTCTATATTCAGGTTCACATGTAAGAAGTAATTTACAAAAAGAGGAATTTTGTAAAATATATAATGGTTGAAGAAGCTTAATAATAAATGTAATAAGCTTTTGTGTAATAAGTTCCTGACGTTTTTGTGAACATGGAGCCGCTGCCTTCAAATATTCTGCGATTTGTCTTTGATCACGTCAGGGCTATTAATAAAAAAATAAAATAAATATTGGTTAAAATAAAAATCATAATATATATTATTAATATCAAATTTAATAAATCAATAATACAATAATACCTCATTAAGTTCATCTAAAAATCCTATGTAATTTTCCTTTGTAATGTTATATTTATCATGTAAATGATAAATAAGATTTGTTGTATTCCTTCCCTTTCGATTATATGGATATGCCTTTTGATGTATACCAGTCAAATTGATTTCACATATCTTGCAATAAACAACAGAAGGATCATTTAAATCAGAGCGAAAAAAATAATATGTATGGCTGTGATTACGACGGGATTTGGTAATTATATTAGATGTATTATTTTTACATTTTTTTCTAGCTAAACTACTAGAACTTGTAATAGTTTCATTATCAGAATCGATATCAATAGGAGAAATAGGTTCAAAAGGTAAAAAGGGTGAACTTTCCATTTTTTTTTAATATCAAAAAAAACTTTCATAAAGAAAGTAAAAGCTAAATTTAAAACAAATTTTTTTCATATCTGTCATTATGGTAATGAGGATATTATATAAAACGGGAAATATACGATCTTGAAATTGTACAAGAAAAACTAAAATTCAATCATAAGTGTCGCACAAATAAGAAGGAAGAATTGGGATCGGCAAAAAAAAAATTTAATAATTTTCATATATTTTTGTAGAATATGATATATTCCTACTAAAAATATGAAAATAAAAAAAAAAAACTTCTAAGACTACATAAATATGAAAATATAAAAGAAACTCCTAAGGCCAATGTATTAATTTTCTTTATAAATCAAACTTTACGCCACCACTGTATCTAATGTCATTATTTGTTAATGCATAAAACTGGTTTAAACCGGTTCATTAAATTCAAATTTTCACAATCAATTGATCTTATTAAAACTGGTTTTCGAATCTCTAAAAATCAGATCCAGGTTTATGTTGCAACCAGTTTAAACCGAATTTAAATCAAATTTCACCAAACTGGTTCCAACCTCTAAACAGAATATCTTATCTTAAGATGGCTTACGAAGAGGTATTATTTCTCGTATGTTTTACTGGTAAAAAGAAGTACTTTAGGATTAGGCATGAAGATGAAGTAAACTTTAGACCAGATGATCTCTTTATGAAAGGAATTGATACTGTGAAGCAGGGGAATTCTGAGCTCTTCAGGTTTATCAGAGAAAAGATTATGTGAGAGGCTATGGGTATCGATAATACATGTCTAATTTAAGAAATTGTTAAAGATGTTCTCTGAGATGCTAGATTTAGGCAGTGGGATTTTAACCAGTTTATTGTAATGTTCAAATAGAAGGCCAAAGGAGGTCTCGCATGCAATAAAATATTTATGAAATGGATGAGAAAGGCAAATGGAGAAAAAATATAAAGATCCCTGACTCTGGCAAGCATTTTAGTTATGTTGTAGTGAATGATAGTCCCTGCTATAAAGAAGATGACATAAAATCGACAAGAAAAGGCGATTATATAGAGTTTGCAAATATCACGAAAGAGTTTAATATAGAGATAAATGTCAGCTACTATTTAGAACAAATGGTAGGAATGTGCGTATGCTTCATTAATGAAGATGATATGTTTCAACCACCATCATCGGATAAAATTATGTAAATCAAGAATACAGATGAAAGGAAAAACAGATTGATGATTATTTCCAGAGAAAGACAAAAAACTGGCTTAAAAAATATATAAAAGGTTTACAATAAATTTTCTAGGTATTTCGATGATTCGTCCAAAGCTGATATAGATGAGATCATCAAATTATATGGTTAAGTACTCTTAGCGAGATATGGCAATTCCAGCTAAGAGAACTTAGTTGTAAAGCATTTCGTATAATATTATTTATAGCATATTTTTTCTTGTACAATAATACCAGCTAACTTCAATTCCTATCTTCGAACTTCCAGCCTCTGATCATATAACCTGGCCTTGAAAATGTCTAAAAATGATGAAAAATAGTTTCGATTAGAAGAGATATTACTTTTTTCTTTCAACTTATCGCGCTATAAATCCCAAATTTTTTTCCCAACAATCTATATAACTACAAGAAGAAATAAGGTAAGTATGGCATATGACATAAAAGAACTTTCAATGGTAGGAATAGCTGATGCAGTTCTAGAGGGACCCTCTAGAGGCATTACTTGAAACAATGGTATTACTTCTGCACCACCTGAATGCTTCGCAACCCTTTTCGGGGTAATAGCTCTTGCAAAGCCTCTAATATATTTTCTCTAGAAAAACTTTTATCGAGTTCCATAACTTTATCTTCAAGACCATACTCATGGACAAGGAGTCTTAAATTATCATTGAGCCAAACTGGTAGCTTTTGCGTCAAATCATTCATAGGTAGGGTGGGAGGTTAGAGAGATCTTCTAATTTCTTATCTTTCTTTAAGATTATCACTTGAAAATAAGAATTTTCCTTTGTTAAGTTTAATCGTATCAAAGACAAAGCATCTATTTTCTGACTGGTTATCCCATGTGTCGCTTCTATCCCTTTTTCCATACATTTTATTTTATGTTTTTTTGAATGAAGATCCTTATTTGTTCGATCCAGTTTGAGCCTAAGGGATTCTATTTCAGATTAGTTATATGGGCCAGCTTCTCTAGTAGTCCTCCTACTATATTCGAATCACGTTCTAGTTCCAGATCTAGCAACTTACCTTCTAATTCAACTATCTTAGCTTCAAGAGAAACAATCTTGGTCGACGAAGCTTTCTGGGTTAGGATCGTCTCTCTCTTCAAAGTTTTAATAGAAGATTTAAGTGATTTTATTTCAGCTTTAAGCTCACGTTGACTCTCAGGATGGGACTTCCGTTTAAAAGTAATTTAGGATCTAAGTTTAATACTGGATGCATTTAACTGGCTAGCTTTATTTTCCATATCGGCATAGGTTTGCTAGAACCCCTTTTCTCGCTCTGAATACTTAACTAGCAATTTTTCACTAAGGTCATTAATTTCAGCTTTAGATTTAAGAGCAGAATATAATTTTTCTTTAAGCTCTTGCTCATATGCACCACCAAGTCATTGACCGACCCCCTTGAAGTAGCTATTACCTTTATTATTAATATCATTCAATGTATGTACATTGGTCATAGCCTTTTTTTTCAGCTTAGTTGCTAGTATATTAAAAAATATGTGACTAAAAATTTTTTATAGGATAACTGGATCCTTTAATGCATATAGCACTGATACTCCTAATACTCCCAATACTTTTGATACTCCATATAGTATTAATTTTTTATGCGTATTTTTACTAAAATCACAAATAGTCTCCATACTATGCGTAGAATTAATCCTTCTGATACTTCGCATAAAACTGGTCCTTTGCATAGTTTTGATAGTTCACATAGACAACATAGTATTAATATTTTACATACACATTTTTTATTAATAGTATAAAATCCGATCAACTACCAATATGATTAACCCCTTACCTAGAAAGTATATGCACTCTGATGCCATAAAATTATCATCTACAGATTATGAAGATATCATGCAATACTAGGATATAAAGTCTAAGCCTCTGGAACAGATAAGAAAGAAATTTCATATATCAACTTCTCACTTATACCAGATTTGGAGAGGGCAGGAGGTAGGAAGGGTCGAATGGAACTATTCGGCAGTCCCACTTTCTTATTCAAGTAAAAATAATATAGATAGGCAGGACATACCTGAGACCCAGTAGAGTGTATCACCATTATTGAAAGTGAGGTAAAAAAGACTGGAGGAAAATAAACTAAGTCTAAATCTGTTCATATTTCTGGATCACTAATTATTCAGATATCACTAGCTTCAAAGAGTTTAAATATAAGCAATAAGGAATTTAGGAGCATTTTATGAGAAAGAAAATAAGAGAGACAGAAAAATCACAGAAGAAATGAATAGGATACTAACTACGTAAAAGATGTTTTTCATTTAGTTCGATATAACGTGATAACAACTTCTCATATAGTCTGTTGAGATTTTTTTAGACTTAAGAGTGCTATATAGCATTTTTTCGAGCTCCTCATAACTCACTATTTTTTAATACACTATCATTCTCACTTGCCGTTAAGGCACTTCGCAAGTCCTACAGGTCCTGTAAAATGCAATCCAGAGCTGGCAGATCATCACATTCAGAAGTAGTTCTTGCACAATTCGCCTCGAGCTTGTTCTTGACCTTATGCATAGTGACTGGAATAATATAGTCTTTACCATTAAGAGGGATCTTTAGTTCATTGGTTTTCCAATCCAATACATAATTGAATTTCTTTAAAGTTGATTGAAAAATATTAACGTCAGCTTGTGGTATTTCACTATGATAAAATCTTCATAAATAGTACAATCTGGGGCTAGAGTAATAGGCAAATTGCGGACAACTCTAACAGATTCAACCGAGACAGTAGCAATACCGCTGAGATCATGTGTTTTAGATTTATCAATTTTAGCCCTTACACGTTCAATGATATTTTCTGTTATAATGGAAGGCTCAGCTCCAGAGTCAACTGTCATGGCTGAAATCTTTAAACGTTTGATTTTACACTTTACTGTCATAATACTTATTTTTGGCTCCCTTCTCTAGACGAAATCAATTTCCATTAAATCATCCAAAGTCTCTTCTTCATCTGAGTCGGGTATTGCAGGAGTTGGTTCTCAGAAAGATGAAAAATCATTAGCTTTAGATTTGGTGTTCTTCCTAGATCTGACTTCTTAGTATCTAGCGGAAGGGCTTGAATCATATACAGAGGGAGGATCTTTTTAAGTTCTTCTCAAAGGGTAGAACTAAGCTCATTTTGAATTATTTTTCGAATAGTTTCCTGGCCAGCTTTAGTTAAAAAAGAATTAGCATTACTATTTTTCTGATCATACTTTAGCGTTTCTAGTCCCTATTTTGTCTTGTGTGACTTTTTCACAATTTTAGGGCTTTTATTACTAGAAGAGTCCTTTTTCCCGCTACGTCTTACTTTTTTTTTATTTGGCAATATTAACAGTAATATCACCCCTAGAATCAGAAAAATCAGAAGAATTTGTATCAGAATCTGAACTATCACTAGATGATGATTTGCTAGAGGAGGTACTAGAATCTAAATTAGAATCTGAATCTATAGTAGCAAGATTAACTTTAGCTTTCTTAGACCTCTTTTTCTTCTTCTAAGTGCATTTGCGAGAATTATATCTAGTTCAGTTACAATTAGAGCACTGCTGTTGCGTTTTCACAGCTTTTTTAATCACTTTAGCCACATGTAGCTTTAACTGCTTTTTTGTAGGCTCAGCAAGTTTTTCGTCAGAATTAATTTCAACCTTTTTCTTTGGCTTTAGTGGCAAAGTAGAATTAGGGACAGGAACAAATTCTGAGGTTTTTCCCATAATCCATGATAAAAATCTACCTATATTTTCATCTCGTAAATTTTTATACGTTCCTGCAGAATGTGGTTGGAATTGCGATGAAGCCACTTGTTAAGGCCGTTGGGATTCTGAAGATGCTATTGTATTTTTTATCAAGCTCTCAATTTCCATTTTAGTCATCCCTGATTTATTGGTTTCTACATATGGATTGGCCACCAGAAAAATTGGAAAAGAAGATGATGCATTCTGTTGAGATAATGTAAATTTTTTCACTTCAGCCAATGCTTCTGTAATATTATCCTGAGTATCATGAAATTTGGCCATCATTCGAAGATTATATTGATTTATCAGAGATAGACTATGAATAAATTGCTCTTTTTGCTATTTAGAAGTCATTTCAGCTAATTTACCAATCTTTTTAATTCTAGTAGAGAATTGCTCAACTGACATATCACCTTGCATGAGTTGACCAAACACTGCTGTGTGTTTTAAGTGTTCAATTGTTATATAAGCAGTTCTAAACAGGTATAAAAGTTGACTAAGCTTAATACTAAAAGCAATAATTACAGCAGGAAAACCACCACCGGCATTAGGTGCTACTGGTGCATTATCTACAGGTTTGTTACTAGCTATTAACCAGTCTTTATCCTATGTTCCATTTGGAATTATATCAGTACCAGTTGCGATTCTTGCTCTAATTCTACTAATTTTGGCGGCTGCCTTATCTTGAAATTCTCCAGCAGTATTCAAACCACCAATTTGATTACCACCATTTCCGGCAGCCAAAGCTTGAACAGCAATTAAAGTAACTACTCCTAAATTGTCTGAAAGATTATTACATCTCCAATTTTTACCTCTGATGTGGGTTAAATATCAATTTAATGCATCACCTACAAGGCATGATACTACTAATCCAAATGCCTCTTCTCTTCCAGTGGTCTGACCTGTATCAGGCGCAACATTTATTCGACTAGCTATTATATATCTTTGCATGTTCCTAAGCCAATCTTCTGGATCTTCTCCAGGACGTCTATAAAATATTAGGGATCTATATCCTACCATTCCTGATTGTTATAAATTAAAAGGATTGTTTATAATGCTAAAATAATTTGCTGGAAATTTCTATTTATTAGCTGGAGAGCGAATTTCTCATATATTAATGTATTAATACAGGCCTGCTTTCTAGTATTATTATCGATAATCACTCCTTCCAATCTTTGGGATACGCCATACCATTTTTGATGTCCTAAAGTTTCATCCCTATATCAGTCTTTCCAATTCTGAGCTAGATGAATGGCACAACCATGCATTCCTCTCCAGCGTTCTGTATCATTATTATACCTCACAGTTCACCGATATGCAGTTCTTCTGAAGTCATTGATTTCAGCATCTTTACACCTCCTAAGATCATTGATTTTAGCATATTTACGCTTTCTGAGATCATCAATTTCAGTATCTCTATACTGACATGCATGTCTTTCATCCTGTAAAGTCTGAGTTAACATGCGAACATTACGCAGTGCCTCTACTTCTCGTTATTCTGCATTCATAGTCTGCACAGTTTATTCTGCAAGCTGTTTACCTCAATTCTTCCGATATCGTTGAGTTGATTCAACATATCTAATAGTATTAGTTAAACTTGTAATAATTTTATCAAATTGCGTAACTATATTATTTGAGAGATTAATATTTCTTTCATCCAAATGTAATCGAATTTCTGCTACGCAATCTAAAATGTGTAACCACCCATCTAAAATTGATTGGAAGGCATTATCCATATTACCATTATTCTCCGTTCTTTCTCTATTGCTTAAAACTTTTTCTCAGCTTCTTCTAGTTATTTCATGGATACGAGTTTTAAGCTTCTTGACTTTATCTTCTAACTCATGTAAATGCTCCTCCCTAGATAATATATGCTTCTCCTTTTCCCTTACATATTGCAAAGCTTTACGTAAATGTTTCTTGAGAGACGTGATCTCTAACTTGAGATCTTCTATCCCTTTCTCATGGGTTATGATAGTACTATCCTGAAATGAGATAGTTCGATAACATTTCTCAAGCTCCTTCACGAGGGAGTAAATTTTTTCTCATTACTTTTATTAATAGATATTTCATCTCAAAGTTCATTATGAAGCTTCTGGTTCATATCTAAAAGCTCTACGTACAGGGGGGTGAAATAAATATTAAATAATTTTTTCGCGAACATTTATTACATCAATTTTATATGAAAATTTATTAATTAAAGCTAAATATAGTAATTTATAATGCTTTTCTAATCAAA